AATCCCACAAAACAGTATTTAAAAGAGGAGGAGTAATGGCCTGCCAAAAAGTACCTAAACTGCCGCATTCAGTGGGACCGTGGCCTTAAAGGCCGACGACCAGACTCGAGATTTGCAAGGCAGAAGATCCTCCTCACCATGGGCGAGGAGGAAACAGGCAGCGGTGGACAGGGCAGAAGGGGAGAGAGGAGGATGCGAGGGAAAAGTGGAAGGCGCGAACTGGTCGTCGGCCTTTAAAGGAGTCATGAAACGCTTTTTCAACTTTTTTCTGTTTATCTTTCCTCCTCAACTCATAAATCGCGCATTGTACCAAACAGTTCAAGAAGTCGGAAAGGGGGGAGTCCCCTTTTGCTTGTGTAGCCGGACACAGCCATTGTCCCCCTAGAAGATTAGCCCGTCGCTCAAAATTCCGACTAGTTGCTTTCCCCACCCCGTTCACCCTGAAGCTGACAGTGCTGTGGAAGCTACGTGCTCGTTGGGCCAGCCACAGATTTTCCACGTGATCACGCTCTCTCGCGCATACCGACCCGCAGGGAATGAGGTCAGGTGATGAAAGGGAGGCGGCTGATTGGTCCGGCAAGCGCGTAGCTTCCACCCTAATGTCACCTTAGGGGTAAAGGGATTAAGTGAGGTCCGGTGTCGTGTGACGTGCGCTTGGGCCCTGGTGACGCGCTGCGGGGGCCCGGTTATGGTGGCTAGTAGCCCGGTGACGCGCTGCGGGGTCCGCGGATGTATCACAGCGAAAAGGCGGAGAGTTTACGAAGGGAAGGAGGTACGAGATAGTCCGCTATGTTTTGCAAATTTTCGTAGCGAAAGTCAGTCTTCTGACTTTCTACCTTTGTTCTTTTGGCCCACTGAACGATGTGCTATTAGTAAAATCCCAATATAAAGTGATTTACTCCAGCCCAAAATTCGTTTCATGGGTCCTTTAGCAAGCCTTGGTCGGGTATTGACGTAATGCGGTAATGCACATAAGCGCCGCGCCTCCAACTGCAACCGTGAAAGTCGGGGACACTCCGAGGGTTGTTGTTGTTTTCATGTTGTCTACCTTTAGTGAGCTCTGACTCAAGCGGTTTGGGGTTCCACGGGTAGGCGCCATTGGAATGACCTCGCAGCTTGGCGCCTAGCTGTTCCCATGGTCGCCTCGTCGTCAGCGCATACTACCTTGCCCAAAGCCGGACTCCCCAGCCCACAAACGCAGACACGGATAATCCATTCATGGGAGCACCTTCCCGCTTCAAGCTACAACTGTACGAGCGACGATGCTTGTTCACTTAATCTTTCGCGTCCTTCCGACCTTCTACGCCGGGGAAAACCTCCTTTTTGTTGAAAACGATTTTCTTGTCAGGCGTGTCAGGCTACCACAAAATACAAAAAGTAACTTCGAAAGTAACTTCAAAGTAACTCACTACTTTTTACAGTAGTTAGTAGTTTACTCAATTACTATTACAAATGCGTAATTTCTACTCTACTCCAATTACTTTTGGCGTCACTACTCAGTAACTTAACTTAACTACCTTTTTTGAGTAATTTGTACATGTCTGGCTGAAATACATGGTACCGCTGCTCATGCAGAATGGCACCCGCGAGATGCTGAATATCATAATTAAGATAAAACAAAAAAAGAAAACGAGTTACTTGATTATATTCTTATAGGAATGATCTTTATAGTCGGTGTCAGGTTCAGGGGGAACTACTCCCACTCCTCTCCACTTTAGCAGAGCGAATGCCGGAGGGAAGGCGACCTCCTCTCTGGCGTTCTCTTTGCTAAGGTGAGAAGTGGGGGGAGCATCCCTCATTTCGCTATTCGCGACTCCAACTAACTATAGGTGGCGCCACTCATTTTCCAAGATGGCGGGTTTAGTGAGGGTCAGAGATGAGTGCCGCTATTGAGCCTGTCTAGTGTGCTGGCTTCACTGAGCGACATAAATTATTTCTGGTAATACGAGGAGGCTAATGTTTTATGAGCGCAGGTCACCTCTTTAACCTGAAAACAAGAACGGTGGTTAGCGTATTAATTACGGAAGGATGCGCGTTTTAATTCTGGAGTGAAACCGAAACTTACCTTTATTTTGGATTTAATTTCTCGACAGAGGTCTTAATTTCGGACTCTTTCATGACTCAGGATCTGTCTCACATCGTAATTATTTACTTAGAAAAGTTGTTCGCGTAAGCTTTATTTTGTAACATACTGTTCGATCCAGGCTGATATTCGTAGTTGTTGAAAATACCAGTGCTGAAATCTGTGCGTTCTCGCTGCCTTTTTCTCGCTCAGATAATTGTCATGGGAAATAATGAAAATTATCCCAGCACAAGAATAAGAGAATAATTCCAATTTTTACAATATGTCCACGAAACGCATAAACTAAGAAACGCTGCTCTCACTGCAACAACCCAAGACGGAATCCGAGTCAGACAGCTGAAGTGTGTGTGTGTGTGTGTGTGTGTGTGTGTGTGTGTGTGTGCGTGTGCGTGTGCGTGTGCGTGTGTGTGTGTGTGTGTGTGTGTGTGTGTGTGTGTGTGTGTGTGTTTATAGCAACGCGTGACTCGTAGGACTTCATATTACATCCAGCGTTTAACTGTTTGTCTATCTTGATAACTATGTCAGAGTTCTTCATATGCTAAAAAGAAAACAGAATTATACCTTTCTGGAAAGACTATTATGGTTAAATACAGTATTCTCGTGAACTTGGCGTTAATTAAAGGAATACATTGCCGCGATTTGTATTAATAATAATAATATTAAAATTCACATGTTTGAATAAGTAATTCTTCAAGCTCTAATTTGTTGCTTATGATCTCATTTTAAACGGGCGAAGAAATATGACAATGAAAAATGTGCTAATTATCATCACTTGTTCTAATTGCTGCATTTTAATTACAAATAAAATAAAAATAGTCTAAAATCAATGAAAACATTACAGAATGTGAGAAATCCATGTAAAATTACATTAATTGTGGGTAAAGTATATTGTGCTATCAAAGTCGCGACTTTTGACAATCGGTGAAACGTCCAAAGTCGCCGCCAATATACTTCCAGACCAAATGCCCAAAAGTTAAAAAAAGTTTTTTTTTTAATTACTAATTTTTTCATAACATTTATTTACTTTTGTATTTGCTCGCCGTCGTTTTGCCAATCTCAGTCTTTCCAGTTCGAAGGAACGCCTACCTGCTTGCACGTCTGCTCACTGCAGTGCGTTTCGTTGGCGTTGGAAGCCGGTGAAACAGTAGTGAGTTTTAATATGGTGTATACGAGCGAACCCTGTGTGTTTGCGTTAGCTTTGCGCGTTCCACTCTGCGCGTGCGCGGAGCCCGAAATCGCGGTCTTAGATGGCGCATGGCGATGAGGCGCACGCACAACGTGGGGCACGCAACTCTAAAGCAAACGCACATCGCTCGCGTTTGCTTCTATGCGCAATACTAAAGCTCTCCAATAAGGTACAATCCCATACCGGCTGCAGCACTACGTTGGGACAGTTCAAGAGTGTTGTTTGCATTCGGAAACGACATTTTGCGAGCCATGATCGCGAGCAGTTCCGCCATGCCCGCTGAGCAGGAGAATCGGGGGACCCTCACTAGAGCGCTTCCCGTTTCCGCCGCGGGAGGGCGAGCGTCGAGCTGGAGACGCGAATTCCGTGAATGTAAACAAAAGCGGTCAGATCAAGCCATAGAGTTATAATATACGCTAGAGGTTCAACTCGCGCTACTGTCTATGCGACTTCCGGGTGGCAAATTGAAGCAGACAGCAACCGGTCTACTTTTTGCGGTGCTCCAGTGCATTCCTATGGGAAAACGCGAGTGAATTTTGTCTCTTCGCCGGGACATAACATGGTGCATTTTTGTTGTTTGGATCGTACCGAATAGTGATAATGCAAGTAGTGCAAAGGTGCAAACGATCTGGACAAGAATGACGATAATAATTTTTGGAAAAGGAGAACAAGGGGGACAATGGACAAACACACATCTCCAAACACAGCTAGGTGACTGGTAGGCGACCGGACAAAGTATGTACTTTCATTAACATTCTGAAAGTAATTGCTTTAGTTGGCGCATTTTTCCTTATCAGTGAACGACGTTTAGCTTCGCTATATTTTCGGCTCAAACCTGCGTTCCACAGCAGGTGTGTAAAAACAAGCGACTATTCTAAGCAAACTAACTATCGAAAGGAATGTAGAGTGTGTTCAAGGTTCACCAGCATTCCGGTGGTGCGTACATATTGTTAATATGCCCGTTCTGTCAGTATATGAAATGACCCCGCCTTGAATCTTTACGAGCCGTTAAGAACATTTAAACCGTAAAGAATAAAGTACGTCGGCTATGAAAGGTGTTTATTTTTATTATTTCTATGCCGGGCAGCTTTTATCAGTCACTTGTTCTCAAAGATTTCCAGCCTGCGAGCGATGTCTCGAACGTTGAACAAACGATTCTACGTTCAAGACATCAAAAACGTGATGTCGTTTCGCGTTTCCACGTTCCGCTACTGCCAAGGTTGCAGCCGTCGGCCGCAACCTGGGCAGTAGCCAAACGTGGCCGTCCACGCCAGTACGCCGCAGACGAACTAAGAGAGCAGGAGAACGACATTCACGCTTTAACATTCACAACTCATAAGAAGTGCTTAGCTGTCCTCGGAACTTTTTTTTGTTGTTGTTGTTGTTTTGCCGTTTACAGCAGGACGTATGGGCAGTACTTTAGTTGTTTGCGACCATCTTGAAAGGAACCAAATACTCAGCCCCCTTTTTATAACAATTTCAGATCGATCCTTATGGCTGTATATTGAGGTATTTAGCGAACAAGGTAGAGAGAAGAAGGACAGGACAGGAAAGGAGTACTGTTCTTCTCTCTACCTTGTGCGCTAAATACCTCAATATGTTAGACTACCAACTAGCCCAAATGTCAACTTTACTGCCTTATGGCTGTGAACGGGTTTCGAACTCATGGGGTCTCCGGCGGTGTCCCCCCCCCCCCTCCCCCCCCCCCTTGCCCCCGGGTGCTCTGCTCACCCTGCGCTTGGTGCGGGGGCGGCGCGTACGAGGCGCCCTGTCCGGGCTCCCCCGGCTGCAGGAGGTACGGGTTGCTCGAGGCTGGGTACACGGGCAGGCTGAGCGCCGAGAAGCCGTTCAGCTGCTGACTGCCCATCTGCTTCCGCCAGCGGGCGCGACGGTTGCTGAACCACACCTGCATCCGCACGCGGTCTCTCGCGTTAGCACTGGAACCGGAATACACACGGACAAGACTGCGGCCAAGAATTACGCGGCTTGCACGTGACATCATCGCACCAGGCTGGGGTGGTCACTTCTACCTTCTCTTAGCACATTCGGTCGTACAAAAATGTACTCCGCAGAAGGTACGCCCTCGGCAGCAAGGCCATCACAATAGCAGATAATATAAAGTCGATGCAAGCAGCCACGTAGGGGAACGTTTTAATTTTATAGAGCGTATAGATAGAAGGCAGAACGCACGCGGAGCTCTAATGGCGACCAATAAAAACACGAATGAATGGAACTTTTTAACACTTTTATATATGGCTGGCAACTCATTGTTTTCGGGTTCGCACTCCCATGACGCAAGACCGGAGCCCTTGATATTGAGCAGCGACTTGCGCCAGCCAGCCAGTGTTTTCGATAACAAGCGTTAAACTCTACCTAACAAAAAAATTACCTAACGAAACGAAGAAAAATATACCGTGTATTAATGTCTCCCTAAATTTAACAAAAAAATTGACGTCACGTGACGTCAATTTTTACGTTAAATTTAGCGGGGAAATTGACGTCACAGTTTCAATTCGTGGTGTGACGCGGCACAGTGACGTCACGCAAAGTGGTCACGTGGGGCGATACCACGGTGTCAAGTTATGTTGTCAGGTGATACTCTGGCATCACGTGACGCCAATCTCCTCGCTAAATTCAGCGGGGGAATTCGCGGACAGGCGACGGGCAACCTTCTGTGATTAGACGGTTTGAGAAGCATTGCAGGCTTAAATGCGAGGTCCGGCGAGGGAACTGCGGCGCCCTCTCGGATGGTCCGACAGAGCTATACCTGGACCCTTGCCTCGGTGAGCCTGGTCCGTTGGGCGAGCTCCTCGCGCGTGTAGATGTCCGGGTACTGGGTCCGCTCGAAAGCCTTCTCCAGCTCGTCCAGCTGGGCCGCCGTGAAGGTGGTGCGCGAGCGCCGCTGCTTGCGCTTCAGCGTCAGCCCCGGTTCGGCCGACGAGGCCCCGCCGTCGTCGCCGCAGTCGCCGTCCGAGAACGAGTCCAGGCTGCAGTCACCGCCGCCGCCCAGCGAAGACGGAACGCGGGAGCCTGCGTCCAAAGCAGCGCGTCCAATTTAGAATCCGACTGCGTGTTTACGTTACCGTGTATAACAGCAACGGATGTTTATCTCGCGGCCTGATTTCTGCGGAGATGGACTCTTTTTCAAAACCTCATCAAGCAACATTGGCGGTCGACATTTCTGGAGCACCAAGCGTGTGGCTGGATCCGAGTCCTTGCCGAATGCCGACGCAGCGCTCGTTCTCGTCACGAACTCGACCGAGTTCACGCCGAACTCTGACACGGCCCTCATGTCCGATACATGCTCTGAGTGTGCTCGAAAACAATGGTCGACTCTCGCTATCGGTGCAACAGCTGCTAGAGAGGGTGCGCATTTTTGAAAAGGGTCTATTTTCGTTGCTCTTATAGATTTCCACAAATGATTGTTTACCGTCCAGATGCGTTCACGTGGTTTTGTTACTCGCCCGAGCTCAACAGCGAGCACCGGAAGGGGAGAGGAGTTTCCGGTCTCGGCGGGAGTCTGAGGTGCGGCGGCTTGGAGCAAATCACGTGAATGATGACGTAGCTGATGACGTCACCGCATTTCCTTTTTCTGTGGACGGTTACGCAATTTCTTGGGGACGTTCCCACTAACAGCTGTTGCTGTAGAATGCTGGTCCGCGCATTTGCGTTGGAGTGTGTTCGAGTGCGCTGTGCTCGCTTGTTGGCGCTTACGACGAGACGCTGGCAAACTGGCGTTCTCTACACGCCTAGTGTCGCGCATTTTAGGCCTTAAATCAGCCGAGCTTGTTCTTGGCCGATCGCAAAGATTGAGTCTGCAACTGCTCTCAAAAAAAGGTGGACGCGTGAGCATTTTTGTTGAATTGCGAAAGCACGCCCCAGAGACCACGTGGTCTGCGCATTTCGCCGAGACCATACTGAGACGTTCGAGCCTGCAGTTGAAACGTGGTCTACCGACTAGGCACGACAGGACCTTGACGGTATCATTTGGTCAGAAATTGTTTTCAAATAAACGCGCCACACTGTAAAAGGTGTCCGCGCGGGTCCACTTCAGTGCCAATATTTTTAGATCAAATCCCCGAGATGTACGGAGAGGCTCGGCGAATGACGTAGACGAAAATAAAATGGGAACTAGAAATATTATGGCCGCCAAATCAATGACCGTGCGATGCAAGAAAAAATGGGGAAACGGTCCTCCCCCCCCCCTTCTTTCCCCTCTTATGTCTCACATGTAGAGCATATGACTTCCATTTGAAGAAAATTGGGGCTAAGCGTTCTTAAAAATAACGTGTTAATGATGCATTAATACAAAACAATTAACGTTGCTGGAAGTCCATTAGGATCAAGAAATAACTGCGCGCGTCCGCCCGTCTTTCCATGGCGCATGGAGAAAAGCCTTAGTTATCTTGGAGCTGCATATGAACGCTGTCTATTAACTCTGTCATACGTAGAGCGGCAAAACCAGACACGCCCCCAGGGCACGCCTCAGCGTCCTGGGGCGTGGTTTGGCCAGATAGCTCCTTCCTTTCCGGTGAACGATCGGCTTCCAGTGATGACTGCATTGCCATTCGTTAGGACACGGTGCCGGATATATCGCGGTAATCCAATACATCCGTATACTTCACATCCCCAACCAAAAAAAGAACCCGACTGGCCGTTCCTCCACGATCACGGCCCTTGGCATCCATCGGTCCCCTCTCACCTCCGTCATGTCGGAGCCCAGTAAGACATCACCGTCCACAATCGAGCAATTCATCTCCTTCCGATCATCGTTCGCGCGTACGCGATGCCTGCCCCCCCCCCCCCCCCCCCCTTCCCCCCCTCTTCGAAGTCGCCGCTGCACCAACACGCCTCTGCCGGCGGGGACATGGCAGCCGCTGCGAGCAGCGGCGTGCAGTCCTTGAGGGAATTAGCGAGGAGGGACGGCACGCCGTTTAAATTACACAAGGGGGACGACGCTTTCCGCGAGGACAAGCACAACACGACACCGCGCGGCGAAGCGGGCGTGCGCGGCGTCGAGCAAAGAGCCCCGGCCGGGCCATCTCGCGGGGTCACCGTCGTGACCGGGGTCCCCCCCTCCGCCCGCCGGCGGGAGGCTCGCGGGCCCCACCGTCGCCTAATTGAATTGGCGGCCCCATTAATCCCGACGCCGCCGCCGCCGCCGCCGCCGCCCCGAGCGCCGCTGCAGACGCCGGGCGCCGCGCCTTCGGAGACGTCGAGGTTCACGGACGCGAGAGGGCGGCCGCCGGACGAGTGCGGTCTCTCGGAGTGGTCATCTGCGGCCTGATTAGGGGAAGGTGTGTGTGGGACGGATTGGCGCGGTCATAAGGGGAAATCCAAGGACTGTTCTCGTAGAGGCTTCGGTCGCCTTCATAGAGCGATTGCCTCAGGTTACGTACTCAGACGAAGCCCATCCTCGCCTTTCATACGCCCCCATCCCCTCCCTTCTCCGTCCCTCTTTCTTTATCCTGCTTATTGGGATACTATGCGCAAATATATTACTATAGACGTTTGCAAGCAGCCGCGCTTGGAGAGCTACTTTGGCCACCTCGGATGGAAAACACTTTGTTGGGGCGACGGTCTGGAAACCGTGGGTACGCCTCAGTAATTCTTGGCTGTCGGGCTTTAGTGCCTGGAGCGCGTCTCCGACTGGTGTGTTTAGCGTCCTATACCGCCCATACATTATAAGTGGTTCCAAAGTGGCTACAAATGACGTCACAGAAGCCTGTCGCGATTCTGGCGACTGGATGCTGGCGAAAAGAGCGAGCGAACACCAGTGTCGTTGTCGTCACGGCGTCCCAGGCGTCCCAACTTCCTGCTGCTGTAGCTCCCGTGGACTGTCGAAGTGAAGAGCGACCTGCAGCAGAACAGGTGTCTGCTCCGTTCACCACAACTGTTGGGACGTCGCTGCAGGATCACGACTGGCGACAGCATGACACTACTATGACGTAATCAGGCGAAATCGAGAGGCCACTTTTTTGGACGCGGTGAACACACCAGTCGGACACGTGTTCCAGGTACCGTCAACCGATCTACCCCCCCCCCCCCCCCCACCCCCCCAACACCAAGATCACCAGAGGTCGTACTAGCAAGCGTTTATAGACACTGACATCTTTAAAAAATATAGGGCCTGGCCTATTATGTTTCTTCTTGGAGTGTTCTTTGGCGCGCACGTCTGCTAATCTTGCAATCTCATGTACCACGGAGTGATGACAGCACGCTCTGGACCCTAGCCTTTTATATACTGACAAAGCCTGGCAGATCGCCACGAGAAGCGGCAGCCGAAATGAAAAAGATGGAGCGACCGACAACGGATGAGAGGAGAGCCACGTGACTGGCGCCAAGCTGCGGCGAGACGACGAAACACAGTTCTCCCGAGCGAAAAAGTGTGTTTCGACTCTCGAGCCCTCGCCGCTGCAAAAGCTGTGCGCGGAGGTCCAGGTTCCCCGAGAAATGGCTCGAATTGACGCTCTGTGTTACGAGATCCTCGCGCTCCAATACTGCGACCGGGCACTCTATATGGCTCCGTCGTCAAACTACCAGGCTTTGTGAGAATAGAGGGGTCTATGTCTGGACTCCCACTACGCTCCGCGTTTCTTAAATTCGCACGGTAAACACACAAAAGACAGTCTGCAAACACTGTTTAAGGTCTTCCTTGTATGACGGCCACAATGGTCATACAAAAAACTGTCTGCAGCGAATACCGCGTGCCTTTTGTACGATGTCCGAGCAGTGTCAATAACTATCGGCAACCATGAAGGAAGCATATTATTTCGTTCATTTGCATTTTAGAGTGTGCGACTTCAGCGCCTAGTCCTCCCCCGAGCAGTTTGAAAACCGCCCTTCCGAGAGAACGTGCACCCGCATCGCTCTGTCCACGCTGTCTCATTTTCTTGGTGCTGCGCCGAGGAAGAGGGCTGCGGCCGACGCACCGAGATACTGGATTTGCCGGGGCAGCAGAGACGGCTGACTTCTCCGCTGCCTCGCGACGGGTTTTGAGTGCGATAGATGGCGCCAGCCACCCCCTCCCATTTCAAAGCAGAAAAACCCCGAGGCTACAACTGCGCAAATCTGTCAGGGTCGTGATTGAATTTTCGCGGGGTAAAAAGTACTCCCCAGTAAAGTATTTACATGTGTGTCGCAGCGTTTGGGCAGCAAATTATCGTTTCCTCCTCTCGACTACAAACTGTGAGACACGTGTTTCCGTACAACAGGTCCTCGATACATCGCCGACACGCGCTTGTGCTCAGAAAACCACAAAAAGTGATAAATTAAAAAAGGAAAAAGGAATCCGGGGCAGCGTACTTTTGCGTGAGACCGACGTGCTGCATTTGTTTTATCCTCGTCCAGAGGCAAATTTTTCCTTTTTCTTTCCCACGAAGCTACGTTTAGTCGCAAAAGCACGTTTTGAAAGATGCCTATCACACACAAACGTCTTCAAACGCAAAGAACACATGTAAACTAAATTACAAAAAAAAAAAAGGCACTGAAGCAACTGAGAAAAAAAGGCAGTGAATGACTGTTCATAAGCAACCTTCAGAGAAATTATAGTCTCAAACTAACACAAAGGTTCATCGCTCCTATTATTATTTCAGCAAACACTACGTTGTTGTGACAATGACTCTTCTTCCGTGGTAAAAAAAAATATAAATAAACAAAATGTTTTTTTTTTTATTGTTTTTGCAAAATCCTTTTAATCTCAGACACACTGAAAACATAAATATGGTCATGAAAGTTTTAGCTAAGGTTGGAGCTTTCCGGTATTGTTGACAAATATAGAGGACAAAGTTCGGGAACTTTTACACCTCTTCCCATGTTTTACTTGAATCTTGTGTTGCAACATTGCAGGCGCTGTTTGTAACATTGAAGGAGCGGTGCAGCAACTTTTGTACTTTCAGTCAATACCACTTATAAATATTCCTTGACATTCGTAACCTGAAACACGCGTTTTGTTTTTTTCTCCCCAAGCAACGTGAGTTGCTTGGAGCAGCGTGCAGCGTGCACTCCCTCAACTGGCAGGCAGAACAAGC